CGGACCTAATGGATTATCAGGTTTTGTAGAAGCAGAGGGTTGTTTTAGTGTTGTTATTTTTAAGAATAAAACATCTAAATGAGGTGAAGCAATTAAATTAAGTTTTATATTAACTCAAAGTATTAGAGATGAGTCTCTAATCAAAAGTTTAATAGAATATTTAGGGTGTGGTAATACAAGTTTGGATTCTAGAGGTACTATTGATTTTAAAGTAACGAAATTTTCTAGTATAAAAGATATCATTATTCCTTTTTTCGCTAAATATCCTTTAAAAGGTAATAAAAATTTAGACCTATTAGATTTTAGTGAAATAACAAGATTAATGGAAAATAAATCGCATTTAACTTTAGACGGATTAAATAAAATAAAACAGATCCGTAATAAAATGAATACGAATAGAAAATAACTTTAAAATTAATATATTAATTTATAAACATGAGAAATTTGATTTAAACGTATCAAGAAAAAGATAGTGTTTTCGAATGTGGTTTCCACTCATTTTTAGGGCAAAATAGAACACAGTTTAGTGTTTCATTTTTCATATTTGGATTATTGTTCTTACTTTTCGACCTTGAAATTCTTTTAGTCTATCCTTACGCTGTAAGTACAAACACTAATGATATTTATGGTTTAAGTATAATGTTAATTTTCTTTGTGCTATTAACATTAGGTTTTGTGTTTGAATTAGGTAAAGGTGCTCTTAACATAGAGAGTAGACAAAATACTTTTAAAGAACAGGGTACTAGTGCAAAAATCTTTATCTTTTTGCAACAAAACAAAACAGAATAGTATCTTTTACTCAGTTAATATTTTATTCAAAAAAAATCTCAATTCTCATGTCCTTTGCAGAAATTATTCAAAGGATTCTCGTAAGGGAACAGGTTTTTGGAGAAAAGCTAAATCATTAGATGAATCAGATATAAATAATCCTTTTATGTAAGTGAATAACTTTTTAAAGAAATACCCTTCCAAGGAATTAGCTAAAAAATCTATAGATTTAAATCTAATTCACTCCATTTTCACTCACCTGATTTTAAACTAACCTTAGAAGAGTTCAATCTTTTAAGAAATACCCTACCGATATGATTTGATTTACGTATTACAGATAAATCTAAATTTATACAAACTGTTGGTAAGTATGCACGTAAAGGTACAAAAGGCGTGGCAGGTGTATATGTATTTACTAATAAAAATAGTGGGTTTTCTTATGTAGGATCTTCCATTTCTTTAGTTAATCGTTTAACTACAGGGTGTTTTTCAACCGCTTAGCTACAAGAAAAATAAGCATAGCCATCGCTTATTTAGGACTCCATTCGTTTTACCTTAATCTATCTATTTTACCTGTAGAATTGCTTGAGAAAAAAACTTTTTCAGGTGAGAACGCTAAAATTTCTAAAGTAAAAAATCTTATTCTAGCTTTAGAACAAATATTTCTTCTAGAACTTAACCCAGAAGATAATGTTTTGAAGGTAGCTGGTTCACCAGCGGGTTTAAAGCGTACTCTTTAATCTATGATGCCTAGTTTTATTAAAAATTCTAAACTAGTGTATTTATATGATGAAATTAATAAAGAACTTATTTCTAAAAGTCAGACTGATTTAGGTAAAATTACTAATTCCCTGAGGGAATTTACCTTAGTAAATACCTGAAGGAATTTACCGCAGGTAAATAGTAGTATATTAAAAATAAGTACTTATAAAGCTAATGGTAAATTATATCTTAATCAATTTCTTTTTTCAAATATACCGTTAGATGGTTATACTAATAATCTAAAAAGTTCCTCAGATTTGTTACCCTATATAAATGTTATTAAGTTAGCTGGTCCTAATACGGATTTAGTTATTAAGTCCTTTTTAGAAATAAGTAAAAATAAAAATCTTTCCAGAGTTGTCCATTTTTTTACTTCCGAAAAAGATATCTTGTTGTTACAATAACTTAAACAAGATAGTTTGGATGCTGATGAATATGAAAGATTGGTTGCTACTCAAGTTGAGACTTATAAAAGTATAAAATTTAATTATAATCAAAAAAGAGATTTTCATAGTTCTTCATGATTAAATTCTTTTTATTATAAAAAGATAAGATTTTATAATACAACTAGCTATAGACTTCAAGAGACAGTTGTA